GTACAGTCTTCTATACTCCACCAACTTACCCTAAACCCTGACCCCTGTACAGTCTTCTATACTCCACCAACTTACTCTACCATGGGCCCTGTACAGTCTTCTATACTCCCCCCAACTTACTCATACCATGACCCCTGTACAGTCTTCTATACTCCACCAACTTACTCTACCATGACCCCTGTACAGTCTTCTACACTCACCAACTTACCCTACCATGACCCCTGTACAGTTCTTCTATACTCACCAACTTACCCTACCATGACCCCTGTACAGTCTTCTATACTCCACCAACTTACCCTACCATGACCCCTTTACAGTCTTCTATACTCCACCAACTTATCGTACCATGACCCCTGTACATTCTTCTATACTCCACCAACTTACCCTACCATGACCCCTGTACAGTCTTCTATACTCCACCAACTTACCCTACCATGACCCCTGTACAGTCTTCTATACTCCACCAACTTATCCTACCATGACCCCTGTACAGTCCTCTATGCTCCACCAACTTACCCTACCATGACCCCTGTACAGTCTTCTATATTCCACCAACTTACTCTACCATGACCCCTGTACAGTCTTCTATACTCCACCAACTTACTCTACCATGACCCCTGTACAGTCTTCTATACTCCACCAACTTACTCAAACCATGACCCCTGTACAGTCTTCTATACTCCACCAACTTACTCTACCATGACCCCTGTACAGTCTTCTATACTCCACCAACTTACCCTACCATGACCCCTGTACAGTCTTCTATACTCCACCAACTTATCCTACCATGACCCCTGTACAGTCTTCTATACTCCACCAACTTACCCTACCATGACCCCTGTACAGTCTTCTTTACTCCACCAACTTACACTACCATGACCCCTGTACAGTCTTCTATACTCCACCAACTTACCCTACCATGACCCCTGTACAGTCTTCTATACTGCAACAATTATAGCCAGTTATAGATCAACCTGGGTGAAGGTGATCAATCAGATATTGAGGAGGAAGGGTGAACAATTACCTCTGATGTGCAACCCCGAAATTGCTACGAGAAACTTTGTGCAAGTTAATAATGCGACCACAACAGTGTCGCCTTGCAACTCTCCAGCAACACTCAGTGAAGTGAGTTTAACACAGTGTTATACTGAGTTACTAAGGTAGCTGTTGTTACACTGACTTTACTGACTCGTTAACTGTTGTTATACTGACTTTACTGACACGTTAACTGTTGTTATACTGACTTTACTGACTTGTTAACCAATGTAAGTGTCAGTGACATCATCTGCACGACAGTCACATAGGTTAGTTAGTTAACTGAGTTTAAAGCCTATTAGCTAGCCAATAGCGCTTCTACCCCCACCCCCTTCCCGTTAATACACACTGTTAGGATCAACGACACTAAACGGCAGGTTGAACTCTTGTTTTTTCATCTCAGTTCTGCCCGAAGTGATGTTGAGGCGCCGTGAACAGCGGTGACACAGGCGCTAATAACACCTGTTGTGACACCTGCCTGCACACTGTGATCACTTGGACACCGCAGTGAACACCTGAACAGCGCTGTGAACACCTGAACAGCCAGCCAGGGATGATAAATACCGCACCGTAAGAACGGTACAAGAACACACACACATCTCGTGCCTAGTTAACCCAAACGGTCTTAATGAAGGAGAACGTAGTTACTGTGTGTCAGAACTCTGTAAGAACAACAACGCTGAAGAACATGACTGATGATGAACAACATATATATATATATATATATATATATATATATATATATATATATATATATATATATATATATATATATATATATATATTATATATATATATATATATATATGTCGTGCCGAATATGTAAAACTGGTCAATGAGCAGGAACTCATTTAAATTTAAGTCCTTTCTAAAATTTTCTCTTATACGCTTAAAGATATATTTTTTTCATTAATGTTAATGTAAAAATTTTTAATTTTCCTACAAAAGAATCTTAGAAAACTTACCTGACCTTATTATAACAAGAACAATTTATTTTAGCCCACCCCAACTAAATATATTTTAGATTTGTTTACAATAATTTAATACTAAACAAACACAGTGAAATATATTTTTTTCGTTAGGTTCAGAATGATTATATATATATATATATATATATATATATATATATATATATATATATATATATATATATATATATATATATATATATATATATATATATGTATGTATGTATGTATGTATATATAAAGATGATGAGAGAATGAATGGGGAAAACAGATATATGGAGGAGGTAGTGAGTGTCTCCCACGACTGTTATGGTCAGGTGAACACCTTAAGCCATGTGTGATTACCATACACTGTGAGGGGCCTGAGGGGGGGTGTCACCTTACACTGTGTGGGAAGTTATACTGTGTGGGAAGTTACACTGTGTGGGAAGTTATACTGTGTGGGAAGTTACAGTGTTGGAAGTTACACTGTGTGGGAAGTTACAGTGTTGGAAGTTACACTGTGTGGGAAGTTACACTGTGTGAGAAGTTACAGTGTTGGAAGTTACACTGTGTGGGAAGTTACACTGTGTTGGAAGTTACAGTGTTGGAAGTTACACTGTGTGGGAAGTTACACTGTGTGGGAAGTTACACTGTGTTGGAAGTTACACTGTGTGGAAGTTACACTGTGGGAAGTTACACGGTGAAGTTACACTGTATGGATCACTGGAAGTTACACTGTGTGGGAAGTTACACTGTATGGGAAGTTACACTGTGTGGGAAGTTACACTGTGTGGGAAGTTACACTGTGTGGGAAGTTACACTGTGCATGGTGACTTCCCACACACGGAGAACTAGCAGGTGGTAGATTGGTGGTGATTGAATGAATGACAAGAGAGATAGACAGAGAGATGGAGAGATAGATGGAGAGATAGAGAGATGGAGGATGAATAACGGCGAGGGGAAGTGACTCCCAATTCCTCCAACCCACTTATTATCTTGGGAGGGGGAGAGGAGGGGGAGGGTATGGAGTTAATAGTGGAGGAGGAGACAGTTGGAAGGGAAGGGGGAAGAGGAGGAGGAAGAAGGGGGGAAGGGGGAGGAGGAAGAAGAGGGAGGGGGAAGAGAAGGAGGAAGAAGGGGGGGGGGAAGAGGAGGAGGGAGGGGGAAGAGGAGGAGGGAGGGGGAAGAGGAGGAGGGAGGGGGAAGAGGAGGAGGGAGGGGGAAGAAACAATAATAATTATAGGAGACTTAAACACTGTCAGATCTCTATAGTAATAATAATAATAATAATAATAATAATAATAATAATAATAATAATAATAATAATAATAATAATAATATAATTATTATTATTATTATTATTATTATTGGATTTACAAAAAAGCAAGACTGAGAGAGAGAGAGAGAGAGAGAGAGAGAGAGAGAGTCAGGGCCGGATATAGCGGTATACTTTTTTTATATCTCCCCTCTGTCACCTTCACCTCCTCTCCCTCATCCTCTTCCTCCTCCTCTTCCTCCTCCTCTTCCTCCTCCTCCTCCTCCTCCTCTTCCTCGTCCTCTTCCTTCTCTTCCTCGTCCTCTTCCTCCTCTTCCTCTTCATCTGATGCCTCACATCAACATAACACTTCCTGCCGCTTCCAGGAGACTAATCATCAGGACTTACTGAAGGAGGGCCCCTACCTGGGCCCCTAGTGTGGGCCACTCCAGGGGCCCCAAATAAGGACCACTCCAGGGCTCCCAGGTGAGGGGGAGACCACTCCCCGGGGCCCCCAGTCTTGGCTACTGGCCTACATCACTACACTAAGGGACACACCTTTCACTATCGTGCTCCAGCTCCTGGCTTAACTCAAGCCACTTTCTCTCGTTTACACAATTTACAACTATCACACAGACTGTAAATGGAAACTGGGCAACGTTTCGCACAGTCCTGGACCGCCAATCAGCTTCTCCCGACCTGATAATGGACCGGTACAGACCGAAATAATCCGTCTAATGCTCATTTACGGTATTTTGGGTTAGTTGTGAATTGTACCAACCATGGTATTGTGGGTTAGTTGTGAATTGTACCAGCCATGGTATTGTGGGTTAGTTGTGAATTGTACCAGCCATGGTATTGTGGGTTAGTTGTGAACCGTACCAGCCATGGTACTGTGGGTTAGTTGTGGGTTGTACGTGTTGGTATAATGTAAGCATCACAGAGTGTACCACACACACACTGTAAGTGTTCCAACACTGTAACTGTCACACACAACACCACATTTACACTCCGAGATGTTTACACAGCTATCATTAACATAACATTAACATTATGATAGCCAGAGAGCTCTTGCTATCTCTGCTCGAGGAAAGGTGTTCCCTGCGCCTGTCTGACTTCCCTTGTTGTTATTTTTATTCAACAAATTGTGACACTGGTTTACGTGCAGTGACTAGAGAATGCATCATCTGATCGACTTGAAATTGAAGTCTCCAAGCTCAAACTGACAGCTTTCAGTACCTCGTGAATGACAGCCCTTACTGCGTGGAGGAGTGTGGTAGTTAGGAGCACACTGTGTGTGTGTCCTGGTACACTGTGTGTCCTGGTATACTGTGTGCCCTGGTACATTGTGTGTCCTGGTACACTGTCCTGGTACTCTGTGTGTCCTAGTACAGTGTCTTGGTACACTGTGTGTTTTGGTACTCTGTGTGTCCTAGTACAGTGTCCTAGTACAGTGTCCTGGTACAGTGTCCTGGTACACTGTGTGTTCTGGTACTCTGTGTGTCCTAGTACAGTGTCCTAGTACAGTGTCGTGGTACACTGTGTGTTCTGGTACTCTGTGTGTCCTAGTACAGTGTCCTAGTACAGTGTCCTGGTACAGTGTCCTGGTACACTGTGTGTTCTGGTACTCTGTGTGTCCTAGTACAGTGTCCTAGTACAGTGTCCTGGTACACTGTGTTCACGTCAGAGAGACAGTTACCTCAGTAAGTGTGTCACAGAGGAGAGGCAGAGTGAACAAAGACTACAAGTGCAGTACTTACCACTGGTAATAATAACGTTAACGTCACTATATGAGCGAGGCTAGGAGGCTTCTTTTTTACTGCAAAGAAAGAAATTACATTAATAAACTTTATAAGTGGCACTGTGTTCATTATATGTGTTCACAATGACAGTATTTGTTATAATGTTCTTAACTACTGTGTGCAAGGTTGTGTGTGTGTGTGTGAACTTTCAGTGATATGTTGGGTGTAGTGTGCACCCTCACATCCTTCCCTTTGTTACAAGGTGTGTTTCCTCTTGACCTCCTGGAGACACCTGTCTGACTCATTTTGCTGCCTCGCCACTTCTCAGGTTTATACTTATTTACCTGGTCTTATTCTTCTCCATGCTTGGAGTCGTCGACTCACTGTGACAACCATGATTTAAATCTCCCCTCATATGTTAATAACCCAAATACTTGTACTGGCACTCTCAGAGTACCTCACTGATTACTCTCACTCATCATGTTTTCTCTTCTGTCACTCTGTCGTATATCCTTCAGGTAACCTCAAGTTCACTGAAACACTCAAGTCACCACCACCTGTTGAGCCAGCTGGTGTCGCAGCAGGTGCAGGAGGACTGTCAAATACTTTCTGGCACTCCAAGAATATACACTCCATACATCCCCGTCTCTATTGTTGTATCTGTATGAGTATTACAGTACTCTAGCAGGCTTGTATGACAGCGCTAGTCATCTCTGGAACTATACATGTGTCTGGTAAGTCCCTCTAGAACTATCCAACACACTCCCCCTGAGTGTCTTGTCAACTACTGTTTACACTCTGTATGCCAGAGATACTGGAGACAGTGTCTCTACCTATCTACCATTAACATGGATACCTCATTAGTGACTGTCCAGACTTCTTTTATGTGTGTTGTGTGTGTGCAAAGTTGTGAAACAGGAACTTGACAGTGAGAGACAGTGGTCGACCATCTTGCCTAGGTAGACACAACACATATGTGTTGTGTGACACAGGATGTGTCTCCAGCTCCTCCAGTAACTCTACTGCCTACTCAGTTCTGATGATTTTCTCTTCTACCTGATCTTCTCTAAGACCTGTGATGTAGTGTACCACCATACACTACCACTACACATGTTGGTGTTGTTGTAAAGTGGGGTATGTTACCACCATATACTACCACTACACATGTTGGTGTAGTGTTGTACCACCATACACTACCACTACACATGTTGGTGTAGTGTTGTACCACCATACACTACCACTATACATGTTGGTGTAGTGTTGTACCACCATACACTACCACTATACATGTTGGTGTAGTGTTGTACCACCATACACTACCACTATACATGTTGGTGTAGTGTTGTACCACCATACACTACCACTACACATGTTGGTGTAGTGTTGTACCACCATATACTACCACTACACATGTTGGTGTAGTGTTGTACCACCATACACTACCACTACACATGTTGGTGTAGTGTTGTACCACCATACACTACCACTACACATGTTGGTGTAGTGTTGTACCACCATACACTACCACTATACATGTTGGTGTAGTGTTGTACCACCATACACTACCACTATACATGTTGGTGTAGTGTTGTACCACCATACACTACCACTATACATGTTGGTGTAGTGTTGTACCACCATACACTACCACTACACATGTTGGTGTAGTGTTGTACCACCATACACTACCACTATACATGCTGGTGTTGTGTTGTACCACCATACACTACCACTACACATGTTGGTGTTGTGTTGTACCACCATACACTACCACTACATATGTTGGTGTAGTGTTGTACCACCATACACTACCACTACACATGTTGGTGTAGTGTTGTACCACCATACACTACCACTATACATGTTGGTGTAGTGTTGTACCACCATACACTACCACTACATATGTTGGTGTAGTGTTGTACCACCATACACTACCACTATACATGTTGGTGTAGTGTTGTACCACCATACACTACCACTATACATGTTGGTGTAGTGTTGTACCACCATACACTACCACTACATGTTGGTGTAGTGTTGTACCACCATACACTACCACTATACATGTTGGTGTAGTGTTGTACCACCATACACTACCACTACACATGTTGGTGTAGTGTTGTACCACCATACACTACCACTATACATGTTTGGTGTAGTGTTGTACACACCACCATACACTACCACTACACATGTTGGTGTAGTGTTGTACCACCATACACTACCACTATACATGTTGGTGTAGTGTTGTACCACCATACACTACCACTACACATGTTGGTGTAGTGTTGTACCACCATACACTACCACTATACATGTTGGTGTGGCGTTGTATCACCATACACTACCACTACTACCACTACTACTACCACTACTACCACTACTACCACTACTACCACTACTACTACTACTACCACTACTACCACTACTACCACTACTACTACCACTGCTACCACTACTACTACCACTACTACCACTACTACTACTACTACCACTACTACCACTAGTACCACTACTACCACTACTACTACTACTACCACTACTACCACTACTACTAGCACTACTACACAAGGTGGTCTTGTTACGGTAGTGGCTCAAACAGGAACTTTCTCTACGTCACACATTACTACTGGTGTTGTTGCAGCTGACACTCACCCTCTCCATGTACTTCCCTCAGCAAGTTTCCAGTCCCATCACTGTCTCCTCTTTTATGTTCTAATTTCCTGTTACTTTCTCCTTCCCTTCCAGTGAGGCTTTTAACTATCTATATATCTACATATATATATATATATTATATATATATATATATATAAAATATATATATATATATATATATATATATATATATATAATATATGCAAAACAACCACTCTGAAAGAATAGAGAAATTCCAGGCGCTTTCGTGACTACTCACATTATCAAGGAACTCTTTCACCTGTTCTTAGTAACCTATACATGGAATTTTTTGAAACAAGGTTGCTTAACACAATCCTCCCTAATAGAGCTAAATGGTTCAGATATGTTGATGATATTTTGTGTCTTATGCCCAAAAATGTAGATATACACCATTTCCTTGGAAAATTAAATAGCTTAGCCCGTTCTAAAAACTTTACTGTTGAGTTTGAAGAAAATAACTCATTGCCTTTTCTAGATGTTTTAATTATTAAGGATAATAATGAATTCAAATTTAAAATTTACAGAAAACCTACAAATAACTGTTCCTATGTCCACTATTATTCCTCGCATCAAGATAGAGTCAAACTGTCTGTTTTCTCATCAATGTTTTTGAGAGCTTTACGAATTTGTAGTCCTGAGTTCATAGATGAGGAAATATCCAAAATTTATGTAATAGGTAATGATTTAAAATACCCAAGAAATGTAATTGATAAATCTTTTAAAGTTGCTAGAAATACTTTTTACAATCCAAAAAGGGACAACCAGCCTTATTCAACTAAAAATATGTTGGTTCTCCCTTACCATGAAAACTTGGTTGATATGCCTTCTCTTCTTAAGACTTTTAATATTAAAGTTGTATTCAAAAATCTTGATACAGTAAAAAAAACTTTTGATAAAGAATTGCCCCCAAAATGCTGATGGATGTGTCTATAAGATTCCTTGTAAAATTTGCGATAAAGTTTATTACGGTCAAACTGGTAAAAATCTCGAACTAAGATTAAAACAACATAAATATAGCATTAGAACTGGACAAGATTCCAATGCTCTATTTATTCATGTAAGAGATTTTAACCATCCAATTGATTTTCAAAAAGTTGAGAAAGTAGTATCAAGCAAGTCCATGGTCGACAGGAATATAATTGAATCTTGTTTCATAAAAAGTAGTTTTGACAATAATATGAATATTTCCTTTGGTTTATATAAATTAGATCCATTTATAATTAATAGAATTTGGAAAGAATTTAATAATACACTGGACAAATAATAATTTTAAAAATTTTCTTGGGTAGAATAGTTTGTGGGTGAGTTGTGCAAAGGACCTGTCCTGTTGGGTCGGCGCGTGTCAGGTGTTTAACCGTTGTGGGATCTGATAGTGAGGTGCTGGCCAGACCCCTTATATAGCTTCCTTGGATGCTTTACTTTCATAGTTCCTTGATAATGTGAATAGTCACGAAAGCGCTTGGAATTTCTCTATTCTTTCAGAGTGGTTGTTTTGCATATATATATATATATATATATATATATATATATATATATATATATATATATATATATATATATATATATATATATATTATATATATATATATATATATGATGGGGTCCACCTCTGGTGTAAATTGTGGGACCCACAGCCTCGGAGAAGTGGATAAAAAGGCTTCAAGGAAGAATATTTGGATTTCTTCCTGAAGCCGTTTGAATATTCCACTTCCCCTACCACCCCATCTTTTCATATATTTTTTTTTTACCAATAGGAATATTTTATTACATAATATGGTACAGAAGATTTATTAAGAGATACATTGTTGATATAAAGGTGGCATATAAGGTACATGTTGTTACGTGTGTATCACCGATTATAAGGCGAAAATCTCATCCAGCTCCTCAGAGCTGGGGCGCGTGCCCAAAATACAGCAGGCATTACCCCTCTGAACAGCCGCACTGAGTCGCTGGAACAGAAAACTAGCTGCCCTGGGATCCCTAGTTACCCTGATGAGTCTTTTTCCCAGCTCCTTAAGGAATTTAGATGCACTCTTTCCCCATGAGCCAAGGGTCTCTGAGCCTATGGGAACAAACATATAATGATGGGCAAGTTCTCCATATTTTCTAGACTTTTGGGACTCCCTGAAGCTGGCAGCTGCCCCTCCTTCCTCCCTGGTGTATTGGAGATAGGTATCAGCCAAGGTAGATGCACATGTGTAGTCCCACACCACCTGCTTCCCATCTGTCCAGACTTGAAGGGTGATACCATCTGGACGCTTCTGGCTGCCATCAGATCTGCATAGCTGGGGTGTCTCCCTTACTGCTGGGCATTCGGCTGTTGTGAGGCTCCTCTTGATAATGTTATTAACCTCATCATGTCTTGCAATCTTTCCCTCGGATTTACGGCACACAAGGCCAT